CCAGGTCCACATAAAAATAAACCTTTGTTAATGAAAGAAAAAAAAAAATCAATGGAAAAAATACCCTCGAGTGGGGATTAACCAAAAGAAAAAAGAAGAGGAACGTAGTTAAGAGTAAAATGGCGATAAATGTGTACCTATCAATAATCACTTTAAATGTAAGTGGCTTAAATGCTCCAATCAAAAGACATAGGGTAGCCGAATGGATAAAAAAACAAGATCCATATATATGCTGTCTACAAGAGACCCACCTCAGAATGAAAGATACATTCAGACTAAAAAGAAAGGATTGAAAAGGCATTTCATGCAAATGGAAATGAAAAACAAACCTGGGGTAGCAATACCCAATATCTCACAAAATACACTTTAAACACTTTAAACAAATAAGAGACAAAGGAGGAGACAACATAATGATAAAGTATCAATCCAAATGTCAATTACAAACGTCCTTGTAAACATTTGTGTATTCAACACAGAAACACCTAAATATACAAAACAGATCTCGACTCTGAAGGGAGAGTCGACAGTAATACAGTCATAGCAGGGGATTTTAATGCCCCATTGACATCAATGGATAGATCAACCAGAGAGAAAATCAACACGGAGACGGCAACCTTACACAACACACTAGATCAGATGGATTTAATTGATATCTTCAGAGCATCTCAACCCAAAGCAGCAGAATATACATTCTTTTCAAGTGCACATGGAACATTTTCTAGGATAGACCACGTTAGGACACAAAACAGGTCTTAATAAATTTAAGAAGACTGAAATCATATCAAGCATTTTTTCTGACCCTAATGCTATGAAACTAGAAATCAATCACAAAAACAAACAAACAAAAAAACTGAAAGACACACAAAATTATGAAGGCTAAATAACATGTTACTAAACATGAATGGGTCAACAAGATCAAGGAAGAAATCAAAAGACACCTTGAAACAAATAAAAATGAACACACAAGGACCCAAAATCTATGGGACACAGCAAAAGCAGTCCTAAGAGGGAAATTCTATAGGATTACAGGCCTATCTCATGAAACAAGAAAAATCTCAAGTAAACAATCTAATTTTACACTTAAATAAAGAAGAAAAAAGAACAACTAACAAAGCCCAAATTAAGTAGAAGAAAACAATAAAGATCATGGAATAAACAAAATAGAGTCTAAAGAAACAATACAAAAGATCAATGAGACCAAGAGCTGCTTCTCTGAAACAATAAACAAGATTGACAAACCAGACTCATCAAGAAGGGATCCAAATAAATAAAATCAGAAATGAAAGAGAAGAAGTAACAACTGACACCAAAGAAAATCAAAGGACTGTAAGAAAATATTACAAACAGCTATAAGGTCAACATATTAAGACAATCTAGATGAAATGGACAAATTCCTAGAAACATACAATCTTCCAAAATTGAATCAAGAAGAAACAGAAAATCTGAACAGACTGATTACAACTAATGATATCAAAGCAGTAATAAAAAAAACTTCCAATAAAGTCCTATACTGGTTGGCTTCACAGGTGAATGTACCAAACATTCAAAGAAGAATTAACACCTATCCTTCTCAAATTAACACAAAAAATTCAACAGGTTGGAAGACGCCCAAGGTAATTTTACAAGGCCAGCATTATTCAAATTCCAAAACCAGATAAGACACTACAAAGAAGGAAAATTATAGGCCAATATCCCTAATGAACAAAGATGCTAAAATCCTCAACAAAATATTAGCAAACCAAATCCAGCAATACATTAAAAAGATCATACACCATGACCAAGTGGGATTTATTCTGGGGATGCAAGGCTAGTACAATACCTGCAAATCAATAAACGTGATACATCACATAAACAAACTGAAGGACAAAAATCACATAATCACATCAATAGATGCAAAAAAGCACTCGACAAAATCCAGCACCCATTTCTGATAAAAACTCTCAGCAAAGTGGCAATAGAGGGATCATACCTCAACATAATAAAGGCCATATATGACAGGCCTATAGCCAACATCATACTCAATGGGCAAAAACTAAAACGTTCCTGTTAAGATTAGGAACAAGAAGGGAGTGTCCACTCTTACCACTCTTATTCAACACAGTACTGGAAATCCCAGCCACAGTGATCAGACAAGAAGAAGAAATAAAAGGCATCCAAATTGGAAAGGAGGAAGTAAAACTATCACTATATGTAGATGACATGATACTGTATTTAGAGAACCCTAAAGACTCCACCAAAAAACTACTAGAACTGAAAAATAAATTCATTAAAGTAGCAGGATACAGAATAAATATCCAGAAATCAGTTGCATTTTTATACACCAATAATGAACTCTCAGAAAGGGAAACTAAGAAAATAATCACATAAAAAAATACACAGGAATAAATTTAACCAAGAGGGTAAAAGACTTATACTCAGAAAACTGCAAGACACTGAAAAAAGAAACCGAAGAACACACAAATGAATGGAAGCATATACCATGTTCATGGGCAGGAAGAGTTAACATCATTAAAATGTCCATCTACCCAAAGCCATCTATAGATTCCATGGAATTCCTATTAAGACACCAATGGCGTATTTCACAGAACTAGAACAAATATCCCCCAAATTAATATGGAACCACGAAGGAGCCCTAATAACCATGGTAATGTTGAGAAAGAAGAACACAGTTGGAGGGATCCCAACACTGGATATCAAACTACTACAAACCCACTGTAATCAAAACAGCATGGTACAGACATAAGAACAGGCATATAGATCAATGGAACAGAATAGAGAGCCCAGAAATAAACCCATGCCTTATGGTCAATTAATATTTGACAAAGGAGGCAAGAAGCTACAATGGGGTAAAGACAGTCTATTCAATAAATGGTGCTGGGAAAACTGGACAGGTACATGCAAATAAAACTATACCATTTTCGTACACCATGCACAAGAATAAACTCAAAATGGATTAAAGACTTAAATGTAAGACTCAAAACCATAAATATCCCAGAAGAAAACACAGGTAGTAAAATCTCAAACATTTTTCATAACAATATATTTTCTCATATACATATCTGCTCAGGCAAGGGAAACGAAAGAAAAAATATACAAATGGTACTACATCAAACTAAAGTTTTTGCACAGCAAAGGAAACCAGCAACCAAATGAAAGACAACCACTGAATAAGAGAACATATTCACCAATGATACAGCTAATGAAGGGTTAATATCCAAAATTTATAAAGAACTTATACAACTCAACACCATAAAAACAAACAACCCAATTAAAAATTCAGCACAGGACCTGAATAGACACTTCTCCAAAGAGGACATATTGATGGTCAACAGATACATGAAAAGATGCTCAACACCACTAATCATCAGAGATGTAAATTAAACCTACAATGAGCTATCACCTCACACCTGTCAGAATGGCTCCATCAACAATCAACAAATGACTCCTGCTGGCGAGGGTGTGGGGAAAGGGGAGTCCTGGTCACTGCTGGTGGGAATGCAGACAGGGCAGCCACTGTGGAAAACAGTGTAGAGGGTCCTCAAAAAATTAAAGATGGAGCTGCCTTCTGACCCAGTGATCCCACTCCTAGGAATGTATCCTAAGAATCCTGAAACACTCATCAGAAAGAACTTATGCACCCCTGGGTTCATAGCAGCACAATTTACAAGAGCTAAGATCTGGAAACAGCCCAAGTGCCCATCAGTAGATGAGTGGATAAGAAGCTGTGGGACATTCACACCAGAGAATACTATGCAGCTGTGAAAAGGAAGGAAGCCTTACCTTTTGCAACAGAATGAATAGACCTGGAGGGCATTATGCTAAGTGAAATAAGCCAGTCACAGAAAGACAAATACCATATGATTTCATTTATATGGGAATCTAAAGAACAAAATAAACTAATAAACAAAATAAAGAGACTCATAGAAAAGAGACTGACAGCTGTTAGTGAGGAGGGGAGTTGGGGGGCTGGGTGAATAAAGGTGAAGAGATTAAGCAAAATAAAACCCACCTCATAGACATAGACACCATTATGATGATTACCAGAGAAAAAGGGGGATGGGGGAGGTAGAAGTGGGTGAGGGGCTAAGTGGTGACAAAAGGAGACCTGACTGGATGGTGAACACACAGTACAATACCCTGATGTGTCACAGAGCTGTACACTTCAAATCCACGTTATTTCACTAACTAGTGTCACTTCAAGAAATTCAATAAAAATATAAAAATTAAAACACATAAATAAATAAAAACTTAGTGAATTGTTTATTTCTGGGATTTTTCCATCTAATATTTTTGGACCATAGTTGACTGCAGGTAACTGAAAGCACAGAAAGTGAAAATGTGTGTAAGGAGGACTACTGTACCACAAAGTTAGGTCAAGTTATATAATCAGCAACTCTTTCCTGCCAGCTTATAGGGAATTAAACCTTAAATCTGTTTAAGTGATTATTTTCAGCCTCCCAAGGGACCATAAAAATCAGGACTTAACAGACAGCCCCCAGGGCAAGCTTGCTGGCACCTGTCCACACAGGTGAAGATCAATATCCGCGTGTCATTTTCCTTGGTGACAATTTAAAATCAGAGAGTCTTAGCACAAGGGACTTTCCTACCCCATCAGAACAAGTAGGGCATCTCTGCAGGTGGGCCACCTAGAGGGAAGGGGCAGGAGCTAGGAGTTTCCAGATGACACCGGTAAGAAAGAGTGAGGGCAGAGCCCCTTCAGCACACACCTGTGCGTCACCTGCACAGCAAAGGTGACCAGCATTCCCAAGTCTGAGCACTGCCCTGAATTGGTTCATTAGGTAGAAATTTTGGAGAGGAAAACAGCCCCTCAGGTTGCTTTGGGCTGTGGGATGACAGTGCAGGGTCAGTTCCTTGCACATACCTGGGCACACAGCACTGGCCAGTGAGCTGTGAGCACAAGTAGAGCCAGGTGACGCAGAGCAGTACATGGGAGAGAGGAGTGCCGAGTTACCAGCAGGACTGCGGGTTGTGGCTGTTACCTGGGCTGGCTTCTGGCTGCAGGGAGCTCAGAGGAAGTGGGGGCGAAGATTCGGGGGCCTCTGCAGCTGGGTGTTCAGCCACCGGACAGATGATAAACCACCTCTTCCCAGTGTGCAGGACTAAAGGGCAGGACAAAAACAGCTGGTGAGAGCAAGAGTGTTTCTCTCTTGGTGTGACCCACACTGCTGGCACCAGACCCTCTGGGGAATTAGTCTCACACCAGTGAGGGATATGCAGGCCACTCAAGGGCTCCTTGCTGGCAGTCAGGGACGCTCACAAGCACACCCGAAACGGGCTTAGTTCCCAGGATGCCCAGGGTACCACCACTGACGAGGCAATGCTGGCGGTGGACTAGCAGGCAGTGGGGAATCCTGACACCCTCAGTCAACATCTGGGCCAGACTGGGAGGACATCTGGTGGGGGAGAGAGGTCACTGAACAGTCCAGCAACACCCCCAGTGTGATGGCTTAACCCCTTAACAATATGCTCAGTGGAGCTCTTATCATATGCCTGCTGGGAGACAGACGGGACAATGACAGAAATGCCTCCTCTCTGGTGAGTCTGGTGGGGGTGTGGCCCAGGTGGAAGACATACCATTCTGCTGATATACCGGGGCGTTTGCTTGGGATTGCTGACTCTCCTGAGGGAGGTAAAAGGTCAGAAATCAGAAGACTGCACGGACCAAGAACTGGGAGCACAGTGTGGCCTCAGGACATCCAGGGCCTCAGAGCAGGATTTCCAACTGAGCTGAAGCGCCCCCTTGGGCACCTCTGCAGCGCTGCATGCCCTGCGGGCTCCTCCAGCAGGCAGGCAATGCCCAGTGCTGTCCTCAGGGCCTGGGGCTGCGGGGAAAGCAGGCCCTGGTTCTTCCAGGACCCAGCACCCTAACTCACCTCTCCACCACCCAGGCTGCAGGTGCTGAGGGGTGGTGGGCTTGCCCCAGGGTCGGAGCCACGGTCCACATCTGTGTCCTCACTGAGCATGTCCTCCGCCTTGTCCATGACATCCTTCATCTGTTCGATGAACGTCTCCCGCTCGGCCGGGAGGATGAAGTCATGCTCTACCTGCAATGGCACACACAGCCCTGGGGGGGAGGGTGCGACGCAGGCGTGCAGGTCTTCACAGACTGATTGGCTTGATCTCTGCTCTGTACTAAACCCCAACGGGGAGATGCCCAGGCTCCTGGTACCGGAGCCCAGGCTGCACAGCTCAGCAAGAAAAGCCACAGCGTGAAGAGCAGCCCTCCAGGGGCCTCCCGGACCAGGGGGCTGCCTGCGGAGGCTGAAGCATGGGGCGGCTGACAAGTGGTTGGCAGCCCGGTGCCCAAAGGACACAGAGGAGACAGCCTCGCCAACCAGAAGCGCCACTGACCCGACCAAGCTGGCGGCACCCACGTACCATGTAGGTGGCAATCTCATCGGGCGCGTCTCCATCCAGGTCAAACTTGAATGTCACCATCTTGTGGTTGTGGGTCTCCAGCTGGCACTCGACCATCTTGTCGCCTGTGTTGCACACCTATGGGACATCCAGGCAGTGAGACACGGCAGGAGGCCTTGCCCAGCCTGCCCGCCCCTGCCAGCCCACACGCCTGTCTCCTCACATTCAGGATCGTCAGCCGGGGCCGGCTGGCTTTCTCCTGGCGGGAGCGGGTGCGTGTGGACCTGCGGTGATGTTTCCGGGCAGGCTTGCCTTCCAGCTTCCCCCCTCCAAACGTGCCTTCACAGCTGTCACTCAGCTCCCTTCCAGAAGTGACATCGGATCCTCCATAGCTGTTGGAAAACTAGGAATGTCTCTGTGCCCAGGAAAACGACCTGCAAACGGGCCTCACAGGAAAGCTTAGCTTTTCAGGAAACAGCCCGAAGCTTTAGTGTCTGGGTTTGCTCAGCTAGAAAACCTAGTGGGTCTGAAGCCAGCTATGCCCGGCAGAGAATCCCTGAACCCAGAGCCCCTCCTCCCGCCCTGGGCAGTGCTGAAGCTGTGGGGGACACGTGGGCTTTCTCACCCGGGACCTTGGTCCTCTGGGCCTCGTGCCCTGTGAATCAGGCTCCTTCCAGGAGCGGCCTCATGGTAAACATCGAAATTAAGAAACAATCCTCTCCCATGCCTCAGTTTCCCTAACTGTGCAGCAGCAATGGGAACATGACCACCACATGGGTTGTTGCAAGGTTTGAGGAAAACTTGCAGAGCAGTGAGCTTGTTGCTGACATACTGAGAGGCTGGGACACAGGGTCCCTTCCTGTAACCAGTTCCCTCCCAAACTCAGCATGCCCCGTGACTGGGAGACCACAGGCGTTCGCTGGGAGACTGGGATGTGGACTGGATTCTGCCCTGCCCTCCAGTCTTCTACGAGCCCAGCACCTGGAAAACCTTCGGCACACATACCAGTGCCAACAACCCAGGACACAGCCAGGAGCATCAAACAACCAAAATCCAATGAGTGCTGACCAGGACCCCAGAGGAGCTCCACCAGGTCAGGATGGGAGCAACTGATGTCACTAGAAGCCCTGACACATGTGGGGAAAACCAGATGGGATCCCTGTGACAGGGCAGCAGGCAGGCTGAGGTGGCACGTGGCCATGCCATCTCCATGCCAGTTGGGCTGTTACCTCTCACAGCTCTGCAGGAGGCCAGGCTGCTTGTCCTGTGAGGCCTGCTCCTGAAATAAAACCATGGAAAGGAGAATGGTCACATCTCTCACCTGAGCACAGCCACAAGCCACCCAGCCCAGCTGTCGCCTGATCCCTTCTGACCGTAGCAAGCAGACCACACAGGGCAGCGGGTGTTGGAGCCAAGCAGATTCCTAAATGCTGGGACTCTCCTGTTTGTAAACACACTGAACCACTCTGATCATCCCATGGCAGCACACAGACCCAGGAAGGTTTGTCAGAGGCTTCCTGTCACCTCCAAGGAAAGCACCCTAAATCTACTGTAAAAAATATCACACCTTCTACCTGGAAACGCATTTAAGGAAAGTGTGACCCTGGGGACAGCAAAGGGAGACAAGACGGACACATGCTTCCACCTTCCCCACTTCTGGGCTGAGACCGAGCACAGGGGCCAGGTACTGAGGGGTATGCTGGGGGCCTAGTCCACACACCTCCGGAGCCAACTCCACAGTCAGCTGAACAGCTGGGCAGAGGCTGGAGATCCCAGGCCCACTGGTCAGCGGCAGGCTAGCGGGTGGCAGTGCAGTGGTCTGGACAGGCAAGCTCTGAGTAGCAGCCATCACTGTGGGGGCCAGGGAGCTGGGGAGCTGAGGCAGGAGCTCAGGGGTGGCAGGTGGCAGCACTTCTGGCAGAGGCGGGGAGAGGATGGCAGCAGGAGCGGGCACCATGGGGACCTGGGCGGTGACATCCACAGCATATGGAGGTGGGGGGCCAAGCAGGATCTGTGAGAGCACAGAAGATATGTGTGCAAGTTGGGGTGCCATTGCCACCCCTGAGGGGCCCTGGGCATCGTGGGCACAGCAGGTGCTTCCCTATCCAGGTGGATAAGCATTAAGCACACCTGCAGTGCAAGAGCTGAGGGTCCCTCTCCAAAGGCACCCACTCCTGCCACAGGCAAGTTCTGGCCTCAGAGAACATTTGTACACAGACTTAGAAGAAACAAACATACGAAAGGCACTCTCGAGTTTCCACTTGTGTAAAATCTAACCCCAAACCACATTTCACTTATTCACGTCAAGCTGAGTCTGTCTGAGAAGCCCTAAGTGTGGTCACTTGGTGCCAACCTCAGGGTCTGGATTGAGCACTGCCCTGGACCTCAGCCTTCCCTGGGATGACCTGGGAGCTGGGCCTGACTCCCCACTGTTCCCTCTTTGTAAGCTCTCAGTGGAAAACCTAACAGGCAGAAGGAGGGCCCCAACCTGAAAGGGCAGGAGACCATCCTGCCCCAGTCAGGGTATATAGTCAGAAATGCAACGACCCCCTGCTTGGCCTGCTGGCATGAGACTAACCAGCCACAGGGAAGGCTGTGGGACAGTTGGCCCAATCCCTCCATAAAACCCAGACCCTCTTCCAGCCAGGCAGGGGGGAGGCCATTAGACCTGGTGGATGACCTCTGAGTGCCCCGTGCCTTTTCCAACCACTGAGCAAATGACCCAGTGCTCACCGTGTGCCAGGCTAGCATGGGCAGCAAGGTGCCAGTCCAGGCCCAGACCCCAAGCCTCCATACAGGCCTTGGCTTTCCCCATATGGCCCTGACCTGAGAGGACTCAAATGAGTGACAAGCTGCCAGGTGCTTGCTCAGGCGAGGCGCTGGATTGCTGAGCCTTCCCACACGTGTTTAAACAAATGCCATTCCTTCTTTCTCCAAGGACAGACCATTCTGGGACTTGGACAGCAAGAAGTACGTCCAGGAGGACCTGCGTCCACTCAGGACGTGGAATCTTAGCCCAGACTGAGTAAGTGCCAATGAGCTGGGAACCTGGCACCTCCCAAGCTTTGGGATTAATCTTCCTAACAGAATCAAAGGAGGTGTCAGCCCCACCTTAGAGGAAGGAGCCTAAGCGTTAAAAGGAAAGAACGGTGCCCACAGGCACAGGACTGTTGAGGTTTAGGGCCAGGCAGAAGTGCACCCAAAGTGAGAAGGTGCCCAGGTGAGAAGTCCACCCCACCCCCGGTGAAAGGGTTCCCAGGTGAGAGGGTTCCCAGGTGAGAGGCCCCCAGGTGAAAGGCCCCAACACCACTCCTCTCCTCACACAAGGTTGGATAACAGCCCTGACACTCTAAAACATGCTGGGCGGTGCAGATATCTGAAGCCACTGGGAGGTTCACCCGACCGGCATGACGCATCTCCCCGTGTCCCTACACTGTCAGCGTGGTGAGCTGCCTGAGGGCCCTGCCTGACTCTGGGACACCATCCTTGTCTGCCATGGCCACCTTGGAACCAGCAGCCACAGGCCCCCAGCCACTGCCTGGACCCAACTGATAGATCCCCCAAGAACCCTGGTGGCCCATTTCCCTGCTGACATGGAGGTTGTCCACCTACATCATTTTGATAGGTGGTAAGACAGACAGTGTGAGCCTCCCCTGGGAGTGGGAGGAGGCAGCAGGCACCTCCAGTGACGAAAAGCCAAGCGTGTGGAGCAGCCCTGCCTGCTCACCAGACCCCACTCTGGCCCTGCCCTCAGCCAAGGTACTGAGAAGGAGCGGAGCCCAAGGACCCTCTGCATTGCTGGGCACTAAGGGGTCTTCTGATGCCTGGAGAGCAGGCCCTGCCTGGAGGGTGGCTTACCTGGCTCCCCACCCTGGGGGCAGAGGCAGTCTGCTCAGGAAGGTGGGCGATGCTTGGCTGGTGGGGCTGCGGCACGGGGGCTGCTGGCTGCAGAGGGGTGGGCCTCACAGTCTGCGCCGTGTGGAGGGGGGAAGGGGGGACGTCGCTGGCCATCACCTGCGGGAAGGCTGCCTGGTACACGGGCTGGGCCGGGAGCTGGGCCACAGCAGGATGAATGGACAGGGTGGCCACGCCCTGTGGGGCCACAGCCAGCAGAGGGATGGCAGTGGCGGTGGCCGCCACATTTGGCACAATGGTCCGGCACGGCACGGCCAGTGGTGCCCCGGCAGCGTGGGGAAGCTTGACCGTCTGCAGAGGCAGGGCTGGTGATGTGGGCAGAGGGGCAGCGGCATTGAGCGGGAGGCTTGGCAAGATGACAGCAGGAGAGAAATATTGAGAGGGAGGAGGCACAGCAGGCCCACTGGCAGCTGGCAGGTCCGGGAGGGCTGAGGGGAGGCTGTCGATCGTGGCCAGTGGAGCGACTGGCGGGATTACAGGGAGTGGAGGCATCTGAAAGAGACGTGAGCATGTCAGCCGTGCTGGGGCTCAGCCCCCCAGGAGGCCCTGGACAAAACGGCCACCGCCCCCGCAGGTTCTGTCCAAGGCACTTCTATGCAGCTGCTGCCAAGGGGACCCAAAAGGAAACCTAATTCAAATGAAACCAAGTGCAGGACGCATTCAAACAGAGAAGGAAAGGCAGAGGGTATGGGGACGACTGGTGGTTCTCAGGATGGCTGGGCAGCTCAGATTCGAGGGGTCACAGTAGTGACCACTAGCTTCAGTTTTCTTTCAAAAAGGCTAGGACGGTCAGGGCCACCAGACAGGCCCCAAACATCTGAAATTACTTTGCCTGATTCTCTTCAATCTGTATAAATTCACACAGACCAAGTTCTTTGTTGGGTTCTTTTGGGGAAAGCATGTCTCTGAATACCCGCTGGCCGTGCCGTCAGGACTGGGGAGGACGACATCTCCCCACAGTGGAGGCTCCAAACCTTCTCGTCGGAGACACCCAATATCCAACCTCAGGGATCCCTGCCCTTAAACACTGCAGCAGATTCCGACATTTCTCACTCTAAAACAGCGACTTTCGGCAGGTATGCTGTGAGGATTTTTAAAACATGCAACACCTGAATATTTAGGGGCACTGACCTTTTTCCCTTAGACTGTCAAATAAAAAAATCACCACCACCAACACAGCAACAGCCGTCCCACATGAATGAATCAACATTACACAGCCTGGCCGGGCGGGGCTCAGCGGTTGAGCATCGACCTAGGTAGGATCCAGGAGATCGCGGCTGGATTCCCGGTCAGGGCACATGTGCAGGTTGCGGGTTCGATCCCCAGTTGGGGGCGTGCAGGAAGCAACCGATCAATGACTCTCTCATCATTGATGTTTCTATCTCTCCCTCCCTCTCCCTTCCTCTCTCTGAAATCAATAAAGATATATTAAAAATAAATAAAATTAAAAAATAAAGCGAGACCACATACTTGCTTAAAAAAAAAATTATACCTATTTTTTTTTTTTGTCAGATCGGCAAAAAATTTATTTCTCGGTGTGCTGCATAGTTTTAGGAATCAGCTTATGCGCAGTGAGATGAAGAGGGTTGACAATCGCTGCCCTAAGAGGGAGCCTTTCTGGTGGCTGGTGCAGTCTACTGGAAATGGGCAGACTGACTTCTGGGGCTGTGAAAGCAACTAAATGCCATGACCACCAAAAGTCAGGCGGTGGCTTAACAGGACAGCAAAATCAACTCTAGCACGACTTGACAACAATAAGGGCAGGTGACAGCTGTGACAGCTGAAAGGTAAGAAACTTCTGGGCTGTGGGGTGAACCCCAGGGACACTCACACCTTCTACATGAAGTGGCACTTCCCATCACAGCCCCGTGACACACAAGGCAAAAGCAAGCTCATGACTATCAATGATATCAGCCTGGGCGATGGCACTCGAGCGCCCACCATGTGCTATCAAGTATCATAGGTCATGTGATACCCCCCACTCCTGCCCCCAAGGAGCCATGGTCAGCATGGCCTCAAATGGCTCCAAGGATGGACATGATCATAGCTGGCTCCCCCCTTCCTAGACACCCCTGAGATAGACAAGTAAGGCAGGCGGGCACCGCTGCCCCACTGAGGGTGGAGGGTGGAGAACAGGAGGGCGAGGTACCTGTGTAGGGACTTGAGTGAGTGGCTGCAGGGGCACCGGTGGCATCTGGACGGGCTGAGCTGGGGCCACCTGGGAGGTTGGAGCCAGGTACGGTGGCAGGTGGGGGGGCACCGGCTGGAGAGGATGCACGGGCTTCGGGGCCAGGACCTGTGGCAAGGGGGCTGGCTGGGCCAGAGGAGGAGGCTGGAGGGAGAGGGGGTTTCTCTTACACCAACATCCCACTGAGAGATGCTGCAGGTGCTCAGACAGGACAGAGAAAATCAATGAGCATGTGCACACACACACACACACACACGCGCGCGCGCACCCCCCCTCCCCCCCCAGCAGGGCGCCCAGGACACGCAGGTCGGTAAGAACTGCTGTGTGCAAATGAAGCCCCTCCAAGTGCTATGGGACTTGAATTCCACAAACACAAGAGACCTACCCCCACTCCCATCAGCACCCCGGGCCCAGGCCAACCACAACTGACTGTCAGGGGAGACTGAGGCACTGATGGTGGCCATGAGGAGGGCAGCCACACTCACCTGGTGGCCAGAGGGCATGGGCTGGCCTGGGCCGGTCAGCACGGGGGCGAAGCTCATGGCTGGTTCCTGGAAATGCTGCGGTGGGAGGGAAGCACAGGTGGAGGGCGAGACAGAGCCCATGGACAGGCCAGGCTGCAGAGAGCGCCAGGGGCCATGCTCAGTGGCTACCCTAAAGACCACCACACAGCCACCCGCTGGACAGTTGCAGGGACCCGCCTCTTACTCCCTGTGCCCACCGTCCTGCCAGGGATGGTTTTCCTAGGAACATGACTCACAGAAGCAAGGTGTGGTGTCCCCTAAGCCCAGAATGGCCACAACTCCTAACCGAGGAATGTTCTGGAACATCAGTGCCACAGAATATTACACAGCCGTGAGAAAAGACCATTACAAGGGCTTTGTGGAATTGTGGAGACACGCTCGTTATGACACCAGTGGGGGAGAGATACAAATGCATATGCTTGTCTATAGGACTATGTAACATAGACAAGCTCACAGGATACAGAAACATGGACAAACAGCGGCTGCACCAGGGGAGGGCGCTGCAGAGCTGGGCCCTCCAGGGACTCGGTCAGGAAAACGGGGCCACATATGGAGTCTGTACCACTGGCCACAGTGGAGACAGAACGGGGCGAGTCAGAGACCTGAGCATGGGTCGTCCAAAGATAGTCACAACTGCTGCTGATTTGTTCATTTTTAGGTGCAATAACGATATTAGGTTTTGTTTTCAAAAATCTTGATCTGGCAGAGATACAGACTGAAATATTCATGGGCAAAATATCTGTTTGGGATTTACTTCAAAACAATGGGGAAGTGAGAAGCAGGTAGGAAGATGTGGAAACAGGCTTCACACAAAGGTGACTGAGGTGCGGGCCTGGCTGTCCCCAGGACAGGGAATGCTCTCGCACTGCAGGCTTTCTGGATGAATCACGTGACAGTAATTTGTCACCTGAAACCTGTTATCAGTCCTTTCCATCTTTTGCAGTAAAGACACCATGAGAAGCAGCACAAGTGGGACAAAACCTGTTTTGTGCATCTACCAGAAGCTAGGGTGAGGAGAGAGTCTCCTATGTACCTGTTCCCCCAGCCGCAGCCCTGGCTCAGCAAGACTCAGGTACAGGAGGCCCCAGACGACTGGCACTGCTCCCAGCCCCTCCGCCCTGTTCTTCTCACGGGATTCAGGGCCACATCACCACCATAATCCTCCCCAGGAGACCCGGGTACACCCTGGGGACCCCCTCTAGTTCCCACCCTTCTGTCCATGCTGTTCCTGTTTAAACAGACAAGACATGGGAGAGAGCGCTCTGGCCGAGCCCTGGGGTAAACCCTGGCCAGCCAGCCTTTTACCTCCCTGTGCTTGGCCTTCCCAGTCTACAAGCAGAAGCTCGGACAGGCGGGGGGCTGCCAGGATAGGTAGCCAAGAGTCCCCCTGGCCCTGTGCCTGGGAAGGTGCTCAGCTCCAGCATGGCAAGCCCAAAGCCAAGAAACAAAGCTCTGAGCAACAATAGTCTTTTCCTAGGAGCTGTCAGTGCCGTTTATAACTGTATCTCACTTCATTTCATGAAATGAGCAAAACTGCAAGTGCAAATTGCCAAGGAGCCCTGAACCCTGATCAGCAGAGGCAGGTGTTTCAACTGCTTTTCCAAAGGGGCTTTTCGAGCCCAAGTATACAGAGGGAGGGAAGAGAGACGGGTGGCCAAAGAGGCTTCAGTGTCCAGAAAGTGGCGACAGTGAGAGTGTGGGGAGAGCTCAAGTGAGAACCCAGGAGAACTGGGCACCCAGCAGGGCACCTGGCCCTGACCCCCTCCTAGGCTAGAGGCCTAAATCTCCCTCTGGACCCCACTGCACCACCTGCCTCAAGGACAACTTCTCTGACAGCTTAGGCCTGCGAAGCAAGCAGTTGCTTTGCATTCTTTGGCATTAAAATCAAAATTATAAAATAAATGCCAAATGTGACCTCCTTACCTATCAATTTCCATTTCACCTCTCAGGCTTACAAAGTACTCCTCAGACGCGCATGAGGCCCTTTCAGTCCCACTTCTCAACTGTCACTGAAACGTTTCTCGTGGTCCAGCCACTTCCACGTGCCTAACAGCTGCATAATACCTAGGGGAGGTGCCACCTCTCAGTGGAGCTGGACATTCAACAGCAAAGGTTTCCACATATAAATGATGATTCTCTGCCCCCTTTGCACCAGTCTGAGGGCAGGACCTTGCCAACTTATCACAGCTTTGCAAGCACTGGGTGTCACTGGGCTCTGTTTTCCGTACTTTCTCACTAGGCAGGTCTCTCAGGGTAGGTCACAGGCTGCTCTGGCCTGCAGCCCTGCAGTTGCTGACAAGGATGGACCTCCTGTGAAACTGCTCTGGCACGACCGGGAACTGACCCCGGGCCAGCACAGCCTAGACAGCCCATCAGACTGCAGGCCGCGTGGACGGGGTGCCCAGTGCGAGGGCCAAGCTGACTCACCGTGGCGGGCTGCGGGTAGGCCCCCAGCGAGGGCAGGCTGGGTGGCAGGACAGGCCCCTCGCTCACGCTTACAGGGGGGCTGCACACACTCTGGGCGGCGAGCGGCGCTGCGTCCGCCAGCGAGCCCAGCACCGTGCTCTGCTGGCTGCTCTGCGAGTCCGAGTACACGGTGGAGCCCTGGCCGCTGTCCAACGTGCTGCCCGCTGGGGAGGACAAAGGCACGGCTCAGAGCGGGCACTCAAAGTGATGCCCGCAGCCCATGGGCTCCACACAGACGTGCAGCCCGCCCGCCCGCACGCTTCTTCTGCAAAACAAAGACATGGTTGTGTCTCCAGACCATGTAAGTAGTGAACATGCATCATTTTGCACAATCAACTACAGAGCGGTCCGGGGGCTGACTGCACCACCCGGAGGTGGCCCTGGCAGCCCCCCACACTGCCTGACACCTGGGGGGGCTGCTGCGGGCCACACAGGTCCCGGGGGGGCACCTCACAGTCCTCACAGGCAAGGCAGCTGCTTCCACCCTGGCTTAGATGGGGACCTCACACAGCACCCAACCTGGCCTTGAAAGTGAGCCTTGGGTCAGCTCTTCAAAGGCACAAGGGGTCTTGGGGGGCTGGAATGTCCAAGTTAGGGAAAGCCCCTATCCATTACCACCTGCGTTTTATGATGGGGGGAGTGGTCTCAGGATCCTGACCACCTTCAATTATAATGACAAGGAGTCTGAAGCGGGAGATCTGGGTCCAAATCTGGCTCAAGTCACAGGCCAGGTGTAACTCAGTTGGAAAATGGGGCTGACAAGGCCCTCACCCCACAGAGAGGCCATGAGGGGACCCAAAGGCTCCACGGCCTCACCTGCAGTCGGCCTAGCATGGCCAGTGGGTGGAGCTGCCCACACGTGGGAGCGGGGGTTTGGGGAGGAAGCAGACAGGACCTACATGGCCCACAGGCTCATCTGACCAAACGCACCTGGGAAGATAGGTCACCTCTGTGGCTGTGCCAGTAAAAAGCGAAAAACAAGAAACTATTTAAAATGGCACTTCCAGCTTTTTACTTCCACATTCCAAGAGCTACACAAACATTACAATTTGTCATCTATGAACGCCAAGCTATTTCCACAGGGGTCACCTTTCAGATTGTCAATATTGTGTCCATTTACAATTTAAACAAAGTAAAAGGGGAATCTTGTCAGTTTTGTATAAAAATACCACCACCCCCAGGCTGACCAGAACTTCTTTTAACCTAGGAAAACATAAGAATGTTGAGGTTTGATTACGCCCAACTAACTAGGAAAGTGGCTGACTTCTAATGAGGTGCTCAGGAGTCACTTCCCTGACGCAGAGAGGAGAAAGAGAAGCAGAGTTTGTCACCAGAGAGAGACAAAGACACACACAGAAAGTGAGTGTATGAGAGAGACAGACAGACAGAGAAAGACACACAGAGACGAGAGCACTGCACAAGAGGATGTGAAGAGACCCAGCAAGTCTCACATAAAGCAACTCTAATCCTATGTGTAACTTCTAAAATTTTAAAGTGGACATGTTTATTATTTGTATAATTAAAAATTAAATTTAAAAAATAGTTTTTAAACCTATTGACAAGTTGCCTTCTCAGTCGCGGGTGCTGGACCAAGCCCTCTCGTTGAGCTTGGTCTGAACTGTGGTGGGCAACCAACAGAACGTGTACTGTTAAAACTCATGAAACATGTCTGCTGTACCTTCCAACAGATTAAAGTGCATGTGTTTGCCCATTTTGTTACCTAAGACCAGGTCCTTTCTCTGGGGACGTGTGTGCTGCCTGGTGTCCCCACCTTCATGAAGCACAGCCACCCACGGGCACTGTGGCCAGAGGGATGGCTGTGCACAAGGTCTCTGTTCTGACCCACAGAAGGGGCTGAGAGTGTGCAGGGTGCTGTGGGAGGAGACACAGGGCGACACGGGTATGCACGCGCGCATATATGTGTGTGTGCACATGTGGATGTGTGCGTGCATGTATGCGCGCACATGCGTGTGTGCATATGAATGATCACATGTGCAGGTGATCTCTGGACGGTACCTGACACCGGTGGCCCCCAGGGAGAGACACTAACTGGCTTTTGCTGAACATTGTTTTCAAAGTATGACAGAGGCAATTTTTTAATTCCTGTCCTAGAAACTGTTCAACCAACAATTACATTTTTAAAGTGTGTAGTGCTTTTTCCTACAAAGTTTATGCTCTTCAATTAATTTTTTTGGGTTCATCAAAAAAATGGAACGTGATGCTACAGCAGTTTTATTCTCCAAAACTGGTTATGGTTTAAATAGCCCACTTTGGAAGCCACTCAGCTATGCTGAAGGTAAAGGAAGGACGTGCCCATTCAATGAGCCAGCCTTCCCCCATGAACTGCTGGAGTTGTGGCCTGGCAGTGGGCTGGCCCTGCAGCTCCCGGTGTTGCCAGTGCTTCTTCAGAGACTCAGAAAAGGCCACACCTCCACCCCTCTCACAGCTGTACTCTGGGGACACTGAGGGCAGAGGCAGAACATGTTTCTGCCTAGACTGGCAGCTCCCCGTTCCAGTGTCTGAGATGGAGCCAGTGGGATACAAAGTGATCCCACTACCCACTGGTAACACTCCCTGGGAAATGGAAGAACGATCTCAAGGATCGACACTAGAAGGTAGGTCATCTTGGGGATGGACACGTCTCCAGACAAAGGTCACAGCAGCAGGACAACTCACCCTCCGCCCCTGGCAGCCCAGGTCAACATGTCTGGAAACAGGCATCCCACCAGGTGCTGAGCCAGGGTGAGAAGCAACCCTCAGATGTCCCATGCTGCTGGGACTTACCCCCATCCTTCAGGTGGGGTAAGTAGCCGATTGAGCTGCGACCTCCCTGCTGACTCTGGGCAAAGGAGGTTCTGGGTTGACCTGCACATTTGTCCCCACCTATCCTGAGAAGCTGGACTTCAGCCAGCCTTAAACCCCTCTGGTCACAGATGTCTGTCCAGCACTAGAGACGTTCCCAACCCCTCCTGGGGAACACTCACCCACACCCGCCTTCCACACCCATAGTGAGCTGGGAAGCATTGGGAGAGCAGCACTCACAGGCCAGGGAGGTGGCGCTGGCCGGCAGCGCGGTGGGGAGGAGGTGCTGGTCGGCCTCGGGCTCCTCAGGCTCCAGCGGCCCAGCCTGTGCATGGTAGGTCACCTGGACCTGCAGGGGCACATGCAGGCCTCTGGCCTTGTCAGGGCTGCCCAGGTCCTGCTGCTCCTGGGGCTGCAGTGCTGGCCAGATCCTCTCCCGCCGCCACTGGATCAATGCCACCCGGTCACGGATGGACTTGGCCACAATCTTCACATCGCTCTCATGGAAGAACCCAGACTCAATCTGCAAAAGGAGTCACCAGTCATTACTGGGACCATCCCCACCCGTACATCCCACTGCCACCTGCACCTCCCCCCCC